GAACTAATGTTAGGCGCTCCGCAGACAGTTTAAGTTTCACTTTCACTTTAACCTGAGAGCCTGCAAGAGTCATGGGTGGAGTATGTGGGGAGGGGGGAGATGGGGCATTCTGCCATGAGGAAGTTCAGCTTAAAGGCATGTCCCAGGTCCCAAAAGGCGCTTCTGATCTCCACCTGTCGTTTTGCTCCTCATGTATCCTCAGCATGGCTGTCTAAAAACGCTGCAGGATTTGACTCAAACATGCATGAATGAGTCAAAGCAAGGCTTTGGGCGTGTTTTTTCATGAGAGTATAACATAACATAATATAAAACTCAAAAAAGTTGATTTTACATGATATTGCCCCTTTAAGAAAATGTGTACAGCATGTGACGATAGATGATGTTTGGTATTGTACACGTGTTTGAGTGTCATGGGTAAAATACAGTGAATTAAATTTCAAATAAAGAAAAAAATGTAGTTTGATGTTTGTGCATTTCTTCTACCAAATGAATAAGTTGTGTAGTTCAGCTACAGTGCTGACGCCTGCCTGGACTCCAGTACAGCTTCACGGGAAACTTACTGGAGTTTTATTGTTGAGTGAGTAGAGTGAGGCACTAACTTTGTTCTTGCAGGAAGAGGAGCCTGGTGGCAATCGGAACACACGACCTGGACACCATCTCTGGACCTTTCACGTACACGGCCAAACCTCCCGCAGACATCAGCTTCAAGCCGCTCAACCAGACCAAAGAATACACTGCAACCCAGCTCATGAGCCTCTATAAGGTGGGCAGCTGATTGGCTGGATGTTGGTCCAATGAGCAGCGTGTTGTTTTGAGCAGCGCTGACCCGGAGTTGTTTATTTCCACAGACGGACAGTCACTTGAGACATTACCTTCACATTATTGAAGACAAGCCTGTGTATCCCATCATATATGACAGTAATGGTGTTGTCCTGTCCATGCCTCCTATTATCAATGGTGAGTCTGACCAGTGTTTGTGTTGTCTTTTATTTTCTGCCCCTGATATAAACTATAGATACGTTCAGTATTTATTCAACAAACTCTTTGGGCATTTGAGCAAAGAATTACAAAATGTCAGTCTTCTTATTCCTATTAATTATAAATTAAACAGTGTGCTGATTGGTTGTAGTTTACAGAGAACTCATCATAATATTCAGATTTAAATTTTAAAGCCAAAACATTCATATTTCTTTAGGGGATCATTCAAAAATTTCCTTAAAGACGAGGAATGTCTTCATCGAGTGCACAGCGACCGACCTGACCAAGGTACAAAGAAGACAAATCAAAGTGGTTGTACCACCTGTAATTTTGTCATGAGTGAATGAGAGTCGACCATGTTTCCTGCAGGCAAAGATCGTGTTGGACATGATGGTGACCATGTTCAGCGAGTACTGTGCTCAGCCATTCACGTAAGTCCCGTCCGTCCCAAACTTCCTCTGCAGACCGCAGTATCATTGCCATTGACTTAGGTTGGATGTTTAAAAAAATCTATCTAGACTAGGGTTTCCCCTACATGTAATTGATAGTGGCGCACCCCACGGCAAAAATCATAGCCGCCACACTTTCAGAATAAAGTTTTTTTTAAATAATAGGCCTATATTAGGCTAAACAATGTAAAGCATTTCATATATATTTATATCCTATGTTTGTGCTCTTCTTCTAAGCATAATCAGACTTTGAAACCCCATTTGAAACCCTATTTAAACATCAATGAAAAGATGTTAAGATATACTTTACTTCGAAAAACCAACACCGTGGGTTCTTGTGCGCAGCAAGGCTGTGAGCGCTGTGTCTGTGTGTGTAGTCCTCACAAAGATAGCAAGGCATGTATGTGTGATGTGACGCTCGATGAAAACTGATGTGACAGCTTTGTAAGCTACTTTTTTTCTTTCAAGGAAAACACGACAGGTGAAGCTACAGCATGGTTACCATATCAATAATTACTCTGATACAGCAAGAATCACCAACACAGACCCCGCGTGTGACCTAGAGTCAGCGGCTCCATGCCTGTTAGCGCTGATCAGCAGCGCAGCTATGAGCTAATGTAGCTAATGTAACGCCCCTCAACTTTTAAAAAAGTAACCAGAGTAGTTTGTGAACTCAAAACACCATAAATCCAGGCAAAATGAGCTGCTGTTAACCTACAAGCTGAGCACGCTCCTGTGTGTGTGTGTGTGTGTGTGTGTGTGTGTGTGTGTGTGTGTGTGTGTGTG